ATAGACGGATATGATGATGTCCTGGTGTTAGCAGCAGGCTGGATTCAGGATCAGATGGAAGCTTCTGTTGATGAAGTTTTTCTAGTGAAACCTTCCTCTACAGCAGGAACAGACAGGAAGACATAGAGGTTATTTAAAGTATCTCTCATAGTTTTACTCTCTTCAGTCCCTTTGGTCTTATTGACCTCAGCCAACAGACGGAATGCAACCAGCAGCTAGTTACAGGCTTCTAGACTGAGACACGTAGTGAAGGAAGGCGTCTATCTGACCACAGATGATTTTTGGATCGCCCCAGTTTTATGCTGCAAAAAACACGTTAAAAAAAGAATAATCCTTTAACAATTTTAGGTCAGCTTCTCTGTTCCTTTGGGAAAAACAACCAACCAAGCTAAATGCAATATTATTCACACTTTAATGAAATATTTGGGGTCATGATGTTTGTGCAGCAGACTGGAATCAATAAAGACGTAGAGATTGAATGTGTGGATTCCTCCTCTCTCTCCCTCTCTCAGGTCCTGGAGTTCCTCTGTTGTCCAGATGATGATTCTCGTCACACTGAAAGGCAGCAGGTATATGTAAACACAGAAGCTGATCTTCATCTCAGATTGTTAAGGTCAGGGGAGTTCTGGTGTGGTCGCCGTTTATCAGCCCTTATTAAGCATTGATGTTCATATAAAGTCTATGAGCGTCAGACAGTGTGCTGCTGCTGTGAGATCTGTTTCTCTTTTAGCAGCAGGTTAGATCGGTTCTACTGAGCCCCTAAAGGGACACTGAAGGAAAGAAAAAAAAAAACTTTCTCGTGCGCACCAGTTATAGTTTCTCATGCGCACCAAATACTTTGTCATATCAGAAGGATCTCTTCATTTTCCAGACATTCTATAAACATCTATCTATCTCTGTGCAGTCATTTGCAGTTGTTTGAATGAAGGTCACAACATAATCAAGGTTTGTTTATCCTTAACGCTCAAATAGACCACAGGACTTCAGGATCCGTTTTATGGGACGTACAGACACAACATAATGGTGACGTCTTGCAAGCAATGCAGCAATGTATGGCAGCCCAAACTGAAAATATAGCCTAATTATTTAATGATCATCCATTTTGAAGAACACCAAAATATTCCTGCATCATGCGAGAAAGTATCTGGTGCGCACGAGGAACTAACTGGTGCACACGGGAAACTAACTGGTGCACACAGGAAACTAACTGGTGTGCACGGGAAACTAACTGGTGCGCACGGGAAACTACCTGGTGTGCACGGGAAACTACCTGGTGCACACGGGAAACTACCTGGTGTGCACGGGAAACT